GGGGGGGGACAGCCCGGGGGAATGGGTCTTCATTTGAATTGACCGCGGTGGAAGGCAAACACGAGAGCGTTTCCGGCGCCACGCCGCGCCACCACAGCCCGCGACAGGGATGGCCGAAGGGGGAGAGAAGCAATTACAGCGGGGCCGTGGGCTTCCTAATGTTAAGCACCAAGAAGGCCCGGGTGCAAATGGTAAAAGGCTGCCATCATCCCATCGTCGTGAGGGAAATTTCTCTCAGCTGTGCAACGTGAAAACACGAGGGTGTAAAGTAGCACTTTACATGACGATTGAAGATGCTAAAGATCTTGAATTACTTTTTTTTTGTAAATTATTGTTCAGCCACGTCATTTTCAATTGATAAAACTGAGCAAGTATTCGGCGTGAATATATTGTTTTATAAAACTCTTTTCGAACCCATGTTCGAAGGTAGCAGGTCCCTGCCTTCACTAGAAAACAAAGGTGTTAGGTCACACCTTTGCAGGGGTGCTACAGAAATTTTGAGTTTCATGCCTCTGTAAAGGCACTGGAAAGCAGTACACGTCCTAAGAGTTAGCGCCTTTAGCAATATCAATGCTTTTGTGACAGCTTTTAACCCATAGCTACTACTTAGAGTGCAGCCAAACACCTTCTTGTTCTTTGTTATTTCCAGTGGCTGAAGCACACTTGTCTGCGCGACGCCCGCTCGGTTGTCTCGGGTTGTTCTCTCTCCCGGGCGCACGTGCGCGGCATAGAGGTGCTGCTCTCCAGCTCTCCAGACACACGCGCGCGCGAGCGGGGGGCGATTTACAGCAGCCGGGAGTAGTCCGGATCAACGCAGCCTGTTGCACAGTGGAGAGTCAATAATTGTCTGGGACAGTGTAGCAATTGGAAGCTCTGGAATGGAGGTGGGCGGGCGGTGGTGGCAGCGGCAGCGGTGGTGGCGGCGACTGGGGGGTGAAAAGAAGGGGGAGGGGGTAGTGAGATAATAGAGGACAAACAAGGCTAATGAAGAGAACAGCAGTACCACTAACACTGCACCGCGTGATGGCCGGGAGTGGCCGTGAGGACTGTGCATGAGAGAGGGAGAGGGGGGGGGGGGCACTGAGACGGTGGGAGCATAACCTTTAAGTGAGGCGGGACCACGGGGTAGTAGTACTGCGGGAGAGTGCCAAGAGATGGCATAGTGTAACGTAACGTTTATGCATAACAAGTATAATGTCCTGTTGTGACATCATACTTATTATTATTATGAAACAACGACAACGACGCAGATGTCGTATCCATGAAATCTTTATTTTTATTTTTTTGTTATATTGAAGTAATTTTTGGGTGCCCGGACGCTATAAGGCGGGGAGCGGCAGTAGGATGAGGGAAATTCCGCGCCTCTCGGTAGAGTCTAGGGCACGAGACGAAGAGCGAGAGGAGGAAGGAGTAGGAGGAGGAGGAGAGGCGGGGGGCAGTATGCTGATGAAGTGCAGCAGGGTCGCGACCGCACGCCCGGCACTCAGCGCCACACCTGAGTAAGAGCGAGACACGTCTCGGTCCCTACACTGAAAGAAAAAAAACTATTTAAAATTAGTTGCGAAAAGGAGACGGCGAAATGGGGTAATTCCTGTGGCTCCGCGCTGCTCGCTGTTTTTGTCTTTGATGCGTCCTGGAATTGTTGGTTGCACACATCCACCTGGAATTGTGGGATGCACACATCCTCCTGGAATTGTGGGATGTACACATCCTCCTGGAATTGTTAGATGCGGCGCGCGCGCGCGCGCATATCAATTCAAGCCGACAAACAGTACCGCAAATATAACAGAGTACCGATAGAGTTACTTGCGTAAATAATACGAGAAAAAAAAAATTCGGAAGCAAAAAAAGAAGCTCGTTTGGAACAGCAACGACAACAACTTTACAACATAACCAACAAATACCATAGAAAAACGATATTATGAAAACTCCACCCGAAACAAAAGGGTTGATTAGTTGGGCAACGACGCACGTACCTGGTACCTCTGACCGCAGCAGCGGCCGCAACACGCTTGGAGCAGCCCCGTGTGCGAGGACGTCGAGTGCACGGGGCTAGCCAGCGGCGACGGCGACCCCGGCCGCTTGGGTTGCCCGTTGTACGGGTTCTCGATTTCCACGAACTCTCGGTCCTGCAGGGCAGCCAGAAACAGAAGGACGACACCGTGAGCAAAAGAGCCAGTCTGATACGGCAGCAGCACACAGAAATTATACCACGATTAACTATCACTATAATTGTTCTAGTTATATAATCATGATTATAATCATAATAAGGATACTATGTGAATGACAGTTAAACACTGACACACGGTTCTTTTTTTGTTTTTGGAATATTTTTGCTGGCTAAGGTACCTAGATGGAAGAGCGGGAGAACAGGGGAGGAGGCAGAGTTAAACAAACGACGCCTGCGGCCTTGCTCATGGCTGCTTGTTCATTAATATCCCTTGCTTTGCCAGCCATGCCGCGAGGAAAGAGTTGGGTGCAGATGGACCGGGGAGGCTGAGAGAGAGAGAGAGAGAGAGAGAGAGAGAGAGAGAGAGAG